GCAAGTATTTTGAGATTCTTTTTCAATTTTCACAACTTCTGTGATCTTGTAAATGTAAACAGTGGTAAAGATATATATAACACGTAAGGAAGTAAAGAAAGTAAAAAGGGGGAATAGGCATAACGCACAAGAAGTATTTTGAGCTTCTTTTTCAATTTTCACAACTTCTGTGATCTTGTAAATGTAAACAGTGGTAAAGATATATATAACACGTAAAGAAGTAAAAAGGGGAATAGGCATAACGCACAAGAAGTATTTTGAGCTTCTTTTTCAATTTTCACAACTTCTGTGATCTTGTAAATGTAAAAAAGTGGTAAAGATATATATAACACGTAAGGAAGTAAAGAAGTAAAAAGGGGGAATAGGCATAACGCACAAGAAGTAATTTGAGCTTCTTTTCAATTTTCACAACTTCTGTGATCTTGTAAATGTAAACAGTGGTAAAGATATATATAACACGTAAGGAAGTAAAAGGGGGAATAGGCATAACGCACAAGAAGTAATTTGAGCTACTTTTCAATTTTCACAACTTCTGTGATCTTGTAAATGTAAACAGTGGTAAAGATATATATATAACACGTAAGGAAGTAAAAGGGGGAATAGGCATAACGCACAAGAAGTATTTTGAGCTTCTTTTCAATTTTCACAACTTCTGTGATCTTGTAAATGTAAACAGTGGTAAAGATATATGTAACACGTAAGGAAGTAAAAGGGGGAATAGGCATAACGCACAAGAAGGTACGGGAGAATGGAAAAATGTTGATAAAGAGTATGAATGGGAGGATTAGTGACTTCCGACTTAATTGGCTCGTTTCTGTGAAATCGTCTTTATCGGAATTTTCAAGATTGAATTGATCGTTGTCAATTATACCCTCTTACGTTATGAAGGCATTCGCTCTCAGATACACCTTTATGTTAATTTTTTTTTATGTTAATTTAATTTTATGTTAATTCTCACATACACCTTTCTCTTTATTTAATACAGTGAACTCTCTTTAGTGGCGTAGAATTTGTTTTTAAAATTTACGGTGGACTGAGATGATGTCGGACGGTTAACTGATAGTATGTTTATTTATTCGTTTTTTTCTTATTAATCAGTTATTACTTGTTTAGAATTATTGTTGTTGTCGTCTTCTGTACGCTCTTGAAACTTGAATTCATAATTTTAGCCGTTGAGGAATGTCGACGTTTGACAGGATGGGATCACTACTTGCTTGTACGTTGAAGTCTCCAGCTTTCAAGGACCGTAGTTTACAATTCGTATTAATATTATTCATTGTTTTAACTGCTGATTGTTTTCATCAATAGCTGTTGTTGATATAACGGTAATGATCATTGAGTTAATGGTGATGAACAGTAATCATTATCATCATTGATATAATTATGTTCTTGATTTTCATTTCTTAACATCATTGTTGGTATAATTAATATTATGACCATTTTCAGCATCATTAGTATTGCCATTATTGGTGGAATCATTGTTATTATTCTCATTATTCCCATTTTCATCATTTATGCCACTCCTGCTTTCATATTATCCGAGTTGTTACAATGATTGACGGTCTTACTGTACTGTCAGTTGTGCCAATTTAATTTTCATTATCATTACTAAGATGACTAGTCGATCATTATCATTATTACTGTTGGCCGTAGTAGTAGTGATATCATTAGTAATATAAGTATTAGTGTTACTATTATTGGTGTTATTTTACTAGCATCTTTATTATCACCATTGCCATCACTGATATCATTTCCATTATGTAATTCAACAACAAAAATATTCAAGAAAACATAAAACAAGGAAATTATTAATCACTTCCTTGAATATACGTGATTACCAGACCAATGTAATTTAAATAAATTTTAAATATTTTTTATTGCAAATGATTCGAAGTTTGCAACATTTTTTTTTACCACTTTATCATGTGAATATATATAATTACAATATACGTAATAGTTCTCATATCCAAATTCAAAGGAATGGAAAATGTTGTAGTTACCAAAGAAGTTCCGAACACCTTAAGCCGAAGTCAGAGCTCAACCATCGCATTCGGATCCCTTGCCCAAATGGCGATCACTTCCTCTCTAATTTCCACAAGCAGCAATGGCGCGGATTTCACACTGCACGCTTAACTAGATACTTCTAGCGTTAACCAGCACTATCTAGTTTGCCTTTTCTCGTTCAGATCTTTCCCTCTCGTTTATGTTTGGAGATTTTCGGTTTATTTCTGTTTGTTTGTGTTGTTGTTCTTCCCCTTTTTTTTAAACGTGTTGTGTAGTAGTTAGTTGTGTCCCGATTTTGTCTTCGTCCTTATGGCATTATTGTTTAAGGGCGGAAAGAGTTTCATTACCCTTTGGTTTGGTTTTTCCGTCTCCAGTTGCCAGATGTTGCTATATTTCTTCGTTAGATCACACAATTTTCTTAAACAGAAAGAATAATTAATGGGTTAATGGGGAACCTCGAGTACTACCAAATATGGTGGATAATACTGTCGGAAATAAAGATGGATGAAGTGGAAATCGGTCGCTTTGTAGCAAGTAATTATTTTGATATTAAACCTTTCTTTACGGGTTGCATACTAATATTTGTCCTGTTTTATTTTATTTTGTATTTTGTTATTTATGTAATTATTTTCACTATTGATATCATTATTATTATTGTTATGTTTATTAGTAGTAGTGGTATATAAATTTGTTTTTCTTTTTTATTGGTATTTTTAAGAATCTTTATTTTTCTATCGTTTGTCATTTACTTATTTTTATAATGTCAATATTGGTGGTATTGTTTCGTTATTTTCCTATTATCACTATTATCACTTGATTTGTTTATGTTGTCATTACCTTTATTATTATTATTAATGCGATTATTATTATTATTGTTGTTGTTGTTGTTATCATGACCATTATTATTTTATTATTTTTATTATTATTATTATTGCAATTATAATTGTGATTGTTTATTTTGATATTTATGGTTGTTGTGATTTTAAGTGGTTATTGCAATAAAAATAATACAAATGCGGTGAACGTAACGATGTAAATAACAAAATATAAGAAAAAATCACACTAAATATACATTACAGCAAAGAGCAACAATTAAAATTACAGATTGAATAAACATTGAATTAACTGATATCGGATGAGCTGTCAATAGCAGAACATAAGGACGGAGTGTTGAAAACCTGTTTAATATCTACTGTTTGCATAACTCGTGGAGAGAGAACTTGGAAACGTGATATCTGGCTTGCCGTGGAGAAGAGAGGGAGAGGGAGAGGGAGGAGGAGAAGGAGGAGAAGGGGGAAGCAGAGGAAGAAGAAACGGGAGGAGAAGGGGAAGAAGAAGAAGAGGAAATGGAGAAAGAGAGAGGCAGAATAAGAGTGGAAACAGAGATACAAGAACAGAAACAGAAAAAAAATACAGAAAGAGAAAGAAAACAAGACAAAACAAAGCCAAGAAAAAAAAGGACCGAGAAAGAAAATAGAGAAAGAGAGGCAGAATAAGAGTGAAAACAGAGATACAAGAACAGAAACAGAAAAAAATATAGAGAAATAAAACAAGACAAGACAAAGCCAAGAAAAAAGGACAGAGAAAGAAAAGAAAGAAAGACAGGCAGAATAAGAGTGAACAGAGAAAGAAAACAAGACAAAACAAAGCCAAGAAAATAGGACAGAAAGAGAGAGGCAGAATAAGAGCGGAAACAAAGAAAGAAAACAAGACAAAACAAAGCCAAGAAAAGAAAAAGGACAGACACCCTAAGTATTTCAACCTGTCTTCACGTCCGCGTGCGCCGTCCTCGCCGTCCAGAGGGAGACTGAGAACGGCAGTAAAGTAGTCCGTTATCGCGCTAGATGTTCCTCCGCGTCACTCTCGGAGCAATGAAGACTCTTTTCTAATCTCAAGTGACGCCTCTTATCGCTAATTCTTGAGACAATACGTTCTTTTTGTTATATTTATTTGTTTCTTTTCTTCGTGTCTTTTATTCGTCTTTCTCCGTTTGTTTTTATTTTTTTTTCTTAATGTCTTTTTTCGTTTATGTGTTTCTGTTTTCTTTAATTCTCTTTTTCTTCTTTTCCTTTAATTTCTTTTCACTTTAAGAAAAAAAATGTATTATCAAGAGTAAGACAGAAGCATTTTAATATATGTGAATAATTTTTTTTATACATATTTATACGTATACATATCGTATTTCATAGATCTCCAAATTTGTAATTAAAAAATCATCGAAATATTAACCAGAAAGACGTGTTCCGTTCAGAAAATGAATAATATGTGATACTGTACTTAGTGTATTACAGTAGTATCTAATAAATCAAGTTGTAATTCCTGTTACACAATAATAGGCTTCGATTCTGTGTTGTCATGGCCGTTGGAGGCGACACAAAGCGGCCATTACTTTGATCAGCCCTTCTTTGTCGGTCCAGGTGTCGGCGGGGCAGCCTTGGGAATCCTCTCGGCGAAGGATTTTAAACCTGCATTGTAATTTATCTTTTTCTTTCTCTCTCTCTCTCTCTCTGTCTCTCTCTCTCTCTCTCTCTCTCTCTCTCTCTCTCTCTCTCTCTCTCTCTCTCTCTCTCTCTCTCTTCTCTCTCTCTCTCTCTCTCTCTCTCTCTTTTTTTTTTTTTTTTTTTTTTTTTGCACAGATATTAAGCAAACCGTTCGTAAACGTGTTTTTGACAATCGTTCAAAATGGCTTTATTAAAGATGTAAACGTCTTTCGTATTACTTTTTTTTCTCTCTTTAAAACCTACAAAAGATTATTAACTAAATGGCGTTCTTTAACATGTTTTTTTTTTTACAGCCAGTCAAAACATTCATAAAAAAATGACATCTTTCATATTTCTTTTTTTATCTTTTAAAATCAAGAGCAAATATCAACCCCCCAAAAAAAACTTTAACATCCCCACCAAAAAAATCCGTTAACATGCCCCCCCCCAAAAAAAAAAGAAAAAATCCTTAACCTCCCCTCCCCCCCCAAAAAAAAAAAAAAACATATATAATAT